AAAAAAAAAAAAAAAAAAAAAAAAAAAAAAGATTAGTTATCCATGTCTTGTTCTTTAAACAAGGGAATGAAGATATTTCCACATTTTTCCCAGCATTTATCTCAAACTTCTCAAGTTTGTAACTAACTTTTCCTAGTACATGGAAAAAGTGTTCTAAATGCCACAAATAATTGATTTCCTACTGTTATGAAAATATAAATATATTACTTATAGATGAGGATGAGAAACAATTCTCCTCCTTGATATTCATGGATGTGAGCCAATTTCTCCTTAGTGGACATCATTATTCTGCCTAGTGTGGGGGAAGGAGATTTGAGTGGGACAAGATGACTTTGTTCCATGGGGGCTGTCAACAACCACCCTAGTTACTCTGGGGAGGTCACTGAGGCTCCAGGTTCTCAGGGGTGGGGAGGACCTTGGAGATCATCACCAGTGCCCTTCCTTGACCACAAGGATATGGAGGTCAGAAGATGTGAAGAGATTAGAACATGGAATATACATATGAAATTGTCTCTTCTCTTTCATATTAACATCACAAAAAGTTCACTTACAACTATTTTCTTCATAATAAAACTTTAGTAGATTAAGACGATTTCTAGTCTTTACTACCATTGTTCAGTTACTCTTTTATAATTTCTTCTTAGACAAACCTTGCCAAGTTAGTGATGAATACAACCAATAATAAAGTTTGATTAAAATATTTTATTGGTAAACATGCTACAGCATGGATTAAGGGTAAAGATAATTTAAGTAAACTTTCAGATCACTTTGAATATATTACTCTTTTATCTTTGTTATCCTTGTATTGTTATATTATGTATCTTTATACCGTAAGAGGCAACTTAGTGCTAATGGGTGTGAGCTTGGAGTCTGACCATCATGCATTCAAAATCTGCCTCTGCCACACTACCTCTGTGACCTTGGAAAAATTATTCGACCTAGTAGAGAATCAGTTTCTTCGTCTTTAAATTGGGCATATTAATAGAAACTACCTAACAAATGACTTAATATATACACAAAATACTTAGCACAGTTCCCAGTACATAATGAATATACTTAATAAAAATGTTAGTTATTACTGTCTCTGAACAATGGAATTAATTCCATTGCTGTGCTCAGTGTTGAGCTCAGAGGATACAAAAGCAAAAGGCATGGTTCCTGATAGAAGACTTCCCAGAGGACATGATGATGCCTGATACACATCTTGAAAGGAGAGTAAGAAATAGCCAGGTAGAGGGTATTGTGTAGGTTTGTATGTGGCAGAAGGATGAAGGCTGATTGAGGAGGAGGGCTAATGTTTTCTAGGAAGATAGAGACCTGTGGACAAAGATGGCATTCTGGGGACACTGTAAATTATTAATTTAATATGTAATTGACTTAATATGGCTAAAAGTACTTTGTGAGGTGGGGAGTGGTAAGGGCATGACAGTGAGTAAGATCATGCTGGGGGTTGGATGAGAAATGCAGTGAATCAAACACAGACACCAGGACAACCCTAACATTGAAGGAGCAGATTAGGAAACAAAGCCCAGAAAGGAGACAAGTTTTCTGCCTTCCTTCTCTTCTCTTCCACACACCCAAGGGCTGGCTGGGGATCTTTTGTGGTACAGAGAGGAAAAGGCAGCTCTCTGTAGGGTACATAGAAGCAGAAATATAATGTTGTACCCATGAAAGTTATATAATGTAATAAACCAATGTTATCTCAATAAAAATAAATATAAAAAAGAAAGGCAGTGCTGGGGGTGATGTGGCCAATAAATCTCCCTAATAAATAGCTGGGAGAGGAGAGGCAAGCGAGAGTTGGACAAAAAAGCAATGCAACAAACACTGTAGGGTCTGTTGGGTTTAGTGGATTAAGGGCTCTAGAGAAATGGAGAGTGGAAAAAGGGGATTTCAAAAGGGTTTCTGTGGATTATGAACTGAATCCTCGTTGATGTCAGCTGAAAAATAAAAATTTGAAATTCCTCTTAAATTATTTTATGGTAACTGGACTGAGCTCGTTTGATAAGAAAACTGAGGCACATAATGATTGGAGTCATTTGCCTAGGGTCACAAAACTAATTGAACTCAGGCATTTGAATTTATAGAAATCAGTAGAATCAAGATTTTAATCATAGGATAAAGCAGTAGGGGGTAAAATTCAAAGTCAAAATCCTTTTACTATTTACTATTTTATTTTCTCTGTAAAAAAGTGATTATACTTAATGTCAATATATAGTTGTCTTAAATGGGGAAATTGTTATAATGTAGTTTAAAGAGTGCCATGGGAATGGGGGAGGGGCATAGGTTTTCATCTGTAGCATAAAATACACTCTT